TCAGGACCAGGGATGAAAGCTCCTGATAAACCATGTGGTTCCCAACCTTCCCCTTAAATGAAATGCATCTAAACATCTTCCCGTGCTTTGTTCCCTCAGGGACTGGATCTGATCCTTTCCATGCCTTGGCTGCTGCTGTGGCTTCCTTCTCCATCCCTTGGATGGACCTTCTGCCTTGACTCCCCATTTCCATCTCAGCAGACACCCAGAGCCCTGACCCTGCTGGGATGGCAATGCCAAAGCTCCCCACGGATGGAGCAGGGACGAGAGGTGCTCCTTGGATCACCAGGATGGAGGTTTTCTTCTTGAAAACCACCTGGCTTAGGCTTCCCGTGCACTCCCATCCTACTTCTTGGTAATCATTGCTCCTGCAAAGAAGCCGGAAAGACTCAGTGTGTGCTCAGACCCCCTTCCCCACCCTTCACCTGCTCTCTGCTCCAGCCACCAGCCTGGAGAGAGGAGCACCACCTCTTCCAGGGACAGCCTTGCCTGGGGGAGCAGCAAAGCAGCAGCTCCAGGGCGGTTTTTCCCGCTAGTGAGCCTTCCCTCTTTCTTTTTTTTTTTTTTTCTTGTTATTTTTTTCGCCCCCAGCAACCAAGGAACCTTTGCCAAAGCGTGTTTTCCACATGTTCCCTATTAGTCACGCTCTCTGTCTTACAAATCTGTTACCAGCGCCACAAGCCGATGCTATTAATTTACTTCCAACCGAGCTCCAGAGCTCGGCGGCGGAATTCCAGGCAGCGTTCCTAAAGCCAGCCCCGGCGGCTTGTTTGGATTTAAAACCAATGCCTGCCCTCTCTTCTTCCCCCGGTGTATTTATACAGCGCCTTCCCTCCTTCTCCTCCCGAGCCTCGGCGAGGTGGGGGAAGCGCCGGGAGCCGCGGTGGGGTCGTGCCCGGGGGTCGGGCAGGACCTCCCGGCCGGGGGATGCCACAGAGGCGGGGTCTGACAGCAACATTAAATACTTCCCTGGAGCTGCTCTTTCCAGCCGCTGGGGCGGGGCTGGACCGCGGCAGCGGGAGTTTATCTGGGGCAAGGCACGGGAATGTCGGTGGAGCCACCGCGGGAAGAACCATGTCTCTGTAAGTAGATTTTTTTCCCCTCCCACCCCATTGTTTTCCCCGCGGTTTAAGCAACCGCGCAGAAAGGAAAGGCGTCCAGCTAGCGCGGGGTAATTTCTTTTCTCCCTTCGGCTTACTTTAAACTCAGGTTTTAAAAGTTTTTTTGCCCGGCTCTAACAGCTGTGCCTGTGATTGCGTTAGAGGGGATCAGCGGGTTTTGGGAAGTCACTGAGGTGAGAATGTGGAGCCAAAGGCTCGTTCATGTACCTGGCTACACATGATTTTGACTGCTTTAGGTGTTTCTGGTGGTTTGAGCAGTCCAGTTCCTGCTGTGCCACTGTCTTGGAATGAAACTTGTGCCCTGTGTGTCACCTAATCTGGAGGTGACGTGTGAAGATGGATGATTGAATGAATGGATTTCAAAGCCAGAGGGACGATGGCTCATTTCATTGGTAGATAATGAGCTTCACGAATCACCTAATCTAATCCATCTACCTGCTGCAGAGCCACACAGGTTTGGGTTTTTTCCCCAGACTGTGTAACTTTCCCACTGCATGAAGGAATTAGATCTCATGGAAAGAAGTAAAAATCCATTTTCTCTGCTTTTCTAGTTGGCACTGTGAAGAGAAAAGACAGGCTTTTTCCTAGTAGCATCCTATCCATCAGCACTGAGAACAAATCTTTCCTTGGAAGCTTGTTTGCCATGTGATTGATCCCAGATTATCATGGTGCACTAACCTCCACTCGAGCAATTAAAGGCATTGAAATCTCTTAGTGTGGTCTTTGTAGTCAGCAAGCCACAAAAAGCCCTGGAAGTTCAACTGAACTAACTGATTGTAGGAGGGGTTTTAACTTGTTTTCTTCAGCTCCCGCTCTCAGATCCGATGCCAGGAGGGTGGGTGGGCACACAGGAGTGTGACATCCAGGTGTGATCCCACGCAGAGGGGTCCCAGGGGCACAGGAACAGCTCGTGGCTGTTTCCTGCAGATGTTCCTGCAGATCCAGATGTGCACAGAGGGCTGAGCTGCAGTGTCAGCGGGCAGGACCAGCACCTCGAGCTGGTGGCTGGTGGCCAGAGATGTTCTTCCCAAAGTAACAACCCTCCACTTGTGTTATCTACCAATTTCTTTCCTTTTCCTTGGCTCAGGAAGTTTGGGAGCTGTCAGGGACTCCTTTCTAAAACGTGTCTCCCAGAGGAGACAGTGGGTGCTTTGCTAAAAACTGGTTCAAAACTTGAATATTTACTCCAAAAGCCATCATTACCTCGGTCAGACCCTCCCAGCCCCATCAAACAGCTGCTGGGAGGTGAGTTGGAGCTTTGGGAATCGTGTCTGTGAGTAACACTCATAAAATGGTAAATTATCCTCGGTGTAAACCTCAGAAACCCTTTAGGTGAGCCCTGAGTTCTGAATGAACTGCCCTACAGGACATTTGAAGTGCATCTTTAGGGATGATTTGGGGTTTGCAGTTAGTTGGGGGTGCAGGTGGGAGCTGGTGGGGGCTGAGCAGGTGAAGCTGATGTGTCCTCAAGCCTCGGGCAGACCTGGGTGTCCAACACCCAGCAGGGTCTTCCCTTCCCAGCCCCCCTGTCAGCTGGAGCCTGGCTGAGTGCCTGGGTTAATCCTACAAATCATATAACGCCCCATTTTGCCCATATTTGAATGTGAACACCACAGGGAGAGGGTTAAAGACACTTCAGGGTGTACCCACTGCAAAGAAGCAAAAAGAGGCACTCAAAGGGGATGTTTTTTCCCATTTCACCCCTGAATAAACCCAGATTCCTCACTAAATAGCTCCATGGGGGTTGCTTTCCATGTTCACCTGCACAGTGTTTCTCTGGTGACCATTGGGTCCAAGGCATCACTTCTGGGGCAGGAGATGGGGATTCTGGTCCCGGCAGCTTTGGGGGCTGTTGTTCTTCACCAGGCAAGTTGAGGGCAGAGAGGAGAACTTCCCCAACCCTTCTCCTGGCTTATTACCCAGAAGTTCTCCCTGCCTCAGTTTCTCCAGCTGCAGGACAGGAACAACACCATCTGCAGAGCTCCCACAGGCCCAGCCCGGCGTGTGAAGACTGGGGGGTTTGGGTTCACAGGGGATTCCTTTGATCTGGAAATAGCAGGGTTAGAAAATTCCATCTGCTGCTCTCGAGAGCCCTCGACAGCACAGGAATTTCGCTGCATCTCGAGCCTGGGACGGTGCTGCCTCCTGGGGCAAAGCAGCCCTGCTTGGCTCCTGTCCTAAAGCAAAGCCACATTCCAGGAAGGTTTGGTGTGGAGAACAGAACAAGGCACGTTTCCCTTCCCGCTCCCGTGTGGGGCTGTGCCTGTGGCTGCTCCCACGCTGTGCCTGGCACGGGCAGCGGGATCAAAGCCTGGGTTTGGACCATGGAAACCCCACAATTTTGTATCTCCAGTGGTGCAAAGCCAAGCTGGGACCTCGCTCTTGTCTCGTGGCATCATCAAGCCAGGTTGGCCAGGGTTTGGAGCAACCTGGTCTAGTTGAAGGTGTCCCTGCCCAGGGCAGGAGCTTGGAACTACATGATCTTTAAAATCCCTTCCAATCCAAAAAATTATAGGATTCTGTGATTCTATGATCATTTCCCCTCCTTAGGTCTTCATCCTCACTCAGCCACGCTCACCCAGCATGGAGGGTTAGGTTTGATGTCCACACTCTTTCCACACGTGGACAACAGCCCCTTCTCTTCCCTCTCTCTTCCCTCTCTCTTCCCTCTCTCTTCCCTCTCTC